ATCTGTTTTATGGATTCCATTTCTTTCCTATGTTGGGTGTTTATTTTTTCCATTTCTTTCTTATGCTGGGCCTTCATGGCTTCTATCATGGTCCTGAGCTCATCTATTTTTTTGTCAGTTTCTGCTCTAGAGTCTCGAATCATGACTTCCATTTTGCTCACTATCTCTATGGTTATCTGGGAAATTATTTCTGTTTTGAATTTTTCTAGAGCCTGATTGATCTGTTTTGTTACTTCCTGTGCTTTGAGTTCAGGGTGTCCTGTTGCTTCACCATCGGCCTTTTCATCCTTATTTGCCCTACTGTTTTCCATTGGTAAATTGTAAGTCTGTCCTTGTGTCTTGCTTAAGTGTTTCCTCATTTTAATTTTTGTTGTGGGACTGTCCTTGGTTTAATCTCTGGATTATCACCCAAATCTTCCTGATATAGTTGCACCCTAGCTTCTGTGTCTCTAATGACCCACAGACATTCTCATCTTCATAACATCAGAGAAAACAGCTCATCAAATCAACTGCAATGCTGTACCCCAACTGATACAATCAGCAACACATTAAGATCAAGCACAACTTGGACACTGACCACTGGTGGTAGTTACTAGTCTCTCACCCTTAAATCATTTGAATTAAATTGAAATCAAGAAGCAGTCCAGAACATGTCTGCAGTGAACAAAATTTCAATATAGTGTATAATGGCTCAGACAGCGTGAGGATGCATGACCCCTGATCTCAGTTAGCTGATGGCTAAACCCCATGATGCTGACTGACCTCGGGCTGCAAGGCCCAGATTGAGTTCCCCAACCTTCTGAATGGTTGAACTCCACAACGTTCTATTACAGGTTTCCCACGCCCTTTCTTTAAAGATGTTCAAAGTTGGGAAGTCAGAAAAATACCCTTAATGACCACCTCTGCCTCTGCAGAGTGGGTCCAAAGACTGACACAGGAGGTCTGAGAGTGCAGGGTGGTGGTGGTTATAGGGGTTCAGGGGCGCCTGCGCGGCTACCTTCCCAGTGCTTGAGGGATGGTGGCTGGGTCGGGAGCAGGTGTGGCTCTCCTTCCCACAGTGGATCGGGGCCTAGGCTACCCTCCGGCACTTGAGCGATGGCGGCTGGGTCGGGAGCAGGCATGGCTCTCCTTCCTGGTGGATTGGAGCCCAGACTACCTTCCCGGCACTTGAGAGATGGAGGCTGGGTCATGGCTTTTCTTATAGATTATCAATTAGGTGACAAATCAAGTACTCCTGCTGCTTTCCCTAAGTTTTTTCCAAGATCTCAGGCTTTTCAGATATGCCAAATAGGCACAGTAGTGAGTCTTTTATATTATGTAGTTGTAAATTTATGAAGACGTTTCCTAAGTAAATGAACTTGGGGAAAAATGAAAAAAATCAAAAGAAGTAAACCATCCCAGGAAATTTGGAAATGAGTGGGGGGTGGTTAGAGG